CGGTTCTGCATAGCGGGCTGTGCTGCGCTGCCGTGNTAGAGCTCCCAGGCAAGTTCAGAGTCCAGCAGAGTCCGGAAGCGTGACCAGGCGGTCACGCACGGGAGCAGAAACGGTCAGATGGAGATGGGGAGGCTCAGGGGAAGAGGTTAGCAGAGACAGGATGTGGAACCAGAACTTGATGCAGGACCTTTAAACTGGGCTCCATCTTGGAGCTAGGCTTACTTGGATAAAAACTGAACCTCCCTGCATACAGAACCAAAAACCCAGAGGACTCAGCAGGGGAGGAACGGTGGACAAGCAGGAGACGAGACAGACACAAAACCCTCTTTCCACTGGCTGCCAGGATCCAGGACAAGCTTGGCATCAACAGAACAGACAGGCTAACAGAAAAACAAATAATGATCTGGCCCCGAATGCTCAGGCTGAATATAAACCAAAGGAAACAGGTGAGAGGAATAAATGATAATTGAGGCAGGGAGGGAAAACAACAGGTGAAAGAAATAACCAATTAAGGGAGAGCAAACAGGCCAGATCATGACACGCTGGTTTAATCACCGCTGCTAAATGTTCTTTGATCTTATGCAGAGCCGCTGGAAGTTGATTGTCTTTCAGAACATTTTCCAGAAGCTGCTGTGTTTTAATTAGATTAAACCAGAGTCTAAGCTTTTGTTTGAAGAGGGGATCACGGGATTGGGATTGGTTGTGTTGTGGTTGGGTTCGGTTTGGTCGGCAGCGTGCTGCTGTGGCCGGGCGTGAAGGCTGGTGGTCAGTGTTGGAACCCTGTGTGCGGTGCTGGCGGTTCTGCATAGCGGGCTGTGCTGCGCTGCCGTGCCTGGACAGGGAAGGCGGTCCCTCTGGATGGATGGATGGACAGACGGACGGAAGGAAGGACGCATGGATGAGACTCCATAAAGCTTGGAAATCATGCTTTTTCTGACATCCATCCTGGATGGGAAGCAATACCTCTTCAAACTTGGAAACAAAGTCCACTGTATTGTTTTTTTTTATTTTTTTTATTACTTTTTTGGAAAAATCTGAGAAAACTACAAAATTCCCTTCACAACCCGTAATAGCGAAGAAGTTTCTCAAAGTTTCATTTACAAATGCATTTCATTTACTTCTTTCATTTAACTGAAAGGACTTGCCTCACAGTTTGCTCATAAATCCACCACCTACGTACGCTAACATACTATAAACATGATGCCACTCATCATGACCAGAAGGCTTAGTGGATTCAATCAAAAGTAAAAGGTAAAGTGAACAAAAGAAGAAAAACTACTAGCCCACATCAAGCTGTGTACTCTGCTGTAGCACAAAGTTTGGATAACCACCAACTTTCCTTCTCTTCCTTATATGAAAGAAACGGTGAGATAAAAAGAAAACAATCGGCTTTCGGTTCCCATAAAAACCCTTTGATGTGGGTCTGCAGAACCACATATGATGAGATACTCATAAACAAAGAGGGAATGTAAGGCTTTGTATCCCTTTAAATGAGACTGAGGACTGTTCAGTGTTCCAAGGTCACATGAGATGATTGCACTCACCTCCCACTCATTTAGGCCTCATGCCATCAGTTGTTTTTTTCTGACTACTTTAATGACGTACAGAAGAGGGCCATTAAAAAAATTTTTAAAAGTTAAGTGATTTTTAAAAATATGGGGGGAAAAAGTCAGAATTCTGACTTTAATCTCAGAATTCTGGATCTTAATGTAGATGGACACCATGAAGGCAGAGATTTGGGAGCTCTCAGCTTCACTGACAAAGATGTGAGCTGTTTGAGAGGGCCAGTAACACACTGGTGGAAAATGACGCAATTATTAAAAAAAACTTTTTACGTGCCCGATGGGTCCCTGAGCACGTAATGGAGGAGCTTATTTGAAGATTAGAAGGTGATTAAAACGAGAGAGCTGGTCTCTAAAACAAACATACGGCTTGGTGCCAAAAATGTCGGTTAGCTGGCAGAATTCTGAGATTAAACTCAGAATTCTGACTTTTTTCTCATATTATACTGAAATAATATTTAAAATCAGTTAACTTTATTTATTTTTTTCAACGGCCCTAATCCTCTTCCGTAATGAGGCCTCCTCACACAGTAGTGGGAGATGTGGGAGCACTCAGGCCCCGTCCACACGAAGCCAAACCCTGGCCTAAACACACAAATTTTTCACCAAACCAGCCTACGCTATCTCAGTTCCTCGCCTCCTAGTGACGATCTGTGGTATTACTGCCAGTATTGAAGGAGGAAATCAAGCAAATGGTGGCGGTAATGCACTTAAAGTTGTTTGCCAACCGCCATAAAACACAAGAAGAAGACGAAGAAGGAGGGAATCAAGCAAATCAAAATGGCGGCGCCCGTCACATTCAGAAAGTTATGCTTTATTATTATCGCTGTACTTCAGTGTTTGTGGAGGGTCAGGGTCAGGCCCGGAGTTGCATTTCCGCCAACCAGAGG